CCCTGCACTATCTTATCATCAGAGTATTGTTCAAATTAGAGCTCCCATCCAGTAGCCATGCTGGCTAGGGGCTTATGGAAATTGTAGCGGAAATAACTAGCTTTTCAAGATCTGCCTAACTTTCACAATGGCCCCCAAACAAAATGTGGTGCCTCTGTGAAGTAGACAATGCATCTATGTTAAAAACATTCAGGATGATCCTGAGAAGTTGTTGTTGACACTCTTCCCGTTTAAGGACTTTCTAGGGTCAGTGCTGGAGACAAAAGATGGGGGAAATTAGCCTCTACAATAGGGAGCAACAGTAATGGAAGATGTATTGTCAAAGGCTTTCATGGCTGGAATCACTAAGTTCTTGTGGGTTTTTTCGGGCTATATGGCCATGTTCTACGTCAGGAGAAATGCCTCTAGAACAGTGGTTTTCAACCTGGGGTCCCCAGATGTTTTTGGCCTACAACTCCCAGAAATCCCAGCCAGTTTACCAGCGGTTAGGATTTCTGGGAGTTGAAGGCCAAAAACATCTGGGGACCCCAGGTTGAGAACCACTGGTCTAGAACATGGCCATATAGCCCGAAAAAACCCACAAGAACTTAGTAATGGAAGACATTACCAATCACTCCCCAAGATGTTGGGAGAGGCACTTAGATCCCCAAACTTTGAGCTATTTTACTATATCTGTCACTTACATTAGCTGAGTGACCCAGAGTACCAAGAGTCCTCCTGAGTAAGCATTTTGCTTCTTAGTAGTCTCCTATCAAGAGTCAATCTGGTGCCAAGTGTGCCAGCTTTACTGATCAAACGAAAGCAAAGCTAGACTGACCACTGAAAGCTGCAGTATCAATGGGCAACCATGATACCACTGAAATAGTTACACTTGTTTGTCTGTTTTTTCCTATGTAAAACAAAAACAACACAACCCTGTGCACACCTTTGGAAAACCACAGGGCCCAAAGCAATGTCCAAATATGATACTTTTTGTAATTAGGCTAAACTCGAAATGCAAGACTCAGCCTTTTCTGACTCAAACTATATGTGAGAAAGGTCACATAATTCTCATTATTTCAGTTGACATCTGCACTTAATAAAATTAGGAGAGGAGGCCTCCTCAATTATGAGAGCAAAGGGGCTGGGTGGTTGAAAGGTGCTGGGACCTGCCCTATTGACTTGCTGTGCCCCATAGGGGCTTCTGTCCTCAGCTAGAAGTGAGGTTGATGAGGAGAAAGGGGGCTGGGAGGAGGAGGAGGAGAGCCATGCTTGCTCCAGCTTCCAGGCCACCAGATGCAGCAGCCCTGCGACATGTCGGCAGGTGTTTTGCCAGCAGGCATCCTGTGAAGGTGGCCAGTCCCAAATGAACAGGGAGGAGGAACTCAAGTATCATCTTTGCTGCTGAAAAACACTGACCTCTTTAGGCACTTTACAATTTGAGCAAAAGGATGGCGGGATGTGTTGGGTGGAATGGGTCTGTACCGGATGTTTCTGAGCAGCTCCTTCAGAAAGCAAGGGAATGGGGAAGAAGGGACACAGACCCCCCGTTCACCCACCAACACAGACACACACACATCACCTCGGAGCCCTCGGCACTCCCCTCCACTGGGCTTCCCATCTCTGCTCTGAGGAAGGAATTGGTGGGGACAGGGGAAGAGGGAAGCCAATGATATTTTTTTGCATTTTTTGAAATATATGTATTTTTTTTGTTATTTTCAAACCTTTTAACATTTTTTTCTTCTTTTTAAATTTTTTTTAATTCACATAACACAATAAGCCATTCCAATGGAGAAAGCCGAAGAAAGTTCAGGCAAAAATGATAAAACAGTTTGGATTTTTCTTTTTTTTTCTTTTTTTTCCCCTTATTTTTTTAAACTTTTTTTTTGATGTGAAGCAATATTGACAGTTATAACATATGGCTACCTGCATTCTGCTAGACACGGAAGAAACCTCAGAAAGAACAAAAACAGACAAAGAACTACCCTTTATTTTCAAGTGCGGGGAGGGGCGGTGTAGGAAAGGGTTTGGGGGGGAACTGGGAGAACAGACTCAAAGACACAAAGGGAGCAATGGGGTGGGAGAGAGAGGCGAGGAGTACAGGGGATGAGGAGAAAAGCACACCAAATTCCATTAGTACTATATATATATATATACTGTACTGTACTCATATATATACTGCGTTTCTTAACCAAGGAAGAAACTTGTTCAAAGGGGCAGGGGTGGGACGCAGTCAGGGAAGCTGCAGTTTCATGGATCTCGAGGGGTTTGCTGCCGAGCGAGAGACGTGGGTTTGGAGTTGATGGGGGAGTATGCGTCGATGTGCAGGGAGGAGAAGAAAAGGAAAGAAAGAGTGCCATTGCAGGGGTCTAGTGAAGAAAGGCCAGGGATACCCAGCTGCTGTTCTAAAGGGAGACAGAGAGAGAAGGAGCAAGCGAGGGTGCAACTAATGCTCCATATCAAGGAGGGCTTGAGGATTGTTTCCAGCCTATGGGTGGCAGCTAATGGCCAAACAGGGGAAGCTCCAGCCAAGGGACGAGCCCCCCTCCCCTGCATATGTGGAGGTGGAGGGAGGACAAGAAGGGTCTCAACAGGTTTTTAAGATAAAGCCCCAGTAAAACGATCCACCTCAAAATGAAGTCATTGCTCAGGTAAATCTATCCTCTTCCTGGGACACTGATGGGAGTCACAAGCTGTTTACTTGTTTGGATGCCTCAGAACCCAACTAAGTACTACCTGGGAGAGAATAGAGCTGAGGAACCTTGGCTCTATAGAGCTGAGGAACCTTGGCCCAGCATGGGCTCCATGCAAGATGGAGAAGCCCAAGTATAGAAGGGCTTTTGAGGGGGGGGGGGGTTCCCGCAGTCTTAGGTATTGCTGCTTTGATGGCAAGCCTCCTTCACCTTCCCTGTTGTGCTGCCAGCCCTCTCTTTCGAGTGTGTGTGTGCGTGCAGGGGGAGCAGTATCCAAGCCATTGGGGACTAGGCACCACTGCCTTCACCCACAGTATCAACATCCCCTTCTTGCTGGTCAAGCCTAGACTTTTTATTGCGTTTCCCCTGTATAGAGCACATGAATTACAATGAGGAGAGGGTAAGGCTTCCTGTACGCTCCCGCTTCCCCTCCCCTGGCAGAGCACATTGTCCATCTGTTCCAGCGAAAGATGGGTTTACAAAGGCACTATGTCAGCTGGCCAGTTAAGCATGGTGAGAGTAAGGCAAAATCATCCATCTTGGTCCTTCCCTGAAGTGAGAAATATCTCCAGCCAACCTTCCATGCTCTGTGAGGTTGGGTGGGGTCTGCACTTCTGCTTTGCACCCCCTCTCCCATGGGGCAGTCCTACAAGGATGAAAGGGAGGCGGGAGGAAGGCCTCTTTTCACCACATTGGGAAGGTTGTGAGAAAGGGACTCGCAGGGGTTGCCAACCGCTCGCTCGGGAAGGGGAATGGGAGGCACTCAATTGAGGGGGTGCTGGTGAGATCACAAGTTGGCTCCTCGGTCCAAAGAGAAGTCCTTGAGAGACACAGAAAGAGAGAGACAGGAAAGGAGGGAGGGGGAGAGAGAAATTAGTCTGGCATATAAGCAAGGGGAACAGAAATGAAGGCCAAACCCAAACTGTTTTGCTTAACTTTCTTTGGGAGAAGACAGGGCAGAAAGGCAAAACAGAAGAGGGTGTGTGGTGGCAGTGATGGAGGGCGAGGATGGGGCGAAAGAAGCCAGAGAAAGACACGGCCCTGTTGAGGGTGGTCTTCGCTTGGCCTTTCCCCACTTTGTGGTGGCAACCTCACCATCCGCCCATCTCGCTCGGCAACTTGGGAAGATCCATGAAAAGCTGCCGGATGCTGCTGGTGCGTTTAGACTGCAAAGCCCGCTGCCCCTTTCAGCTAAACATAAAGAAGGGATAATGTGTGTTTCCTAAAATGTGCTTTATGATAACAATTAATTGGTTCATAAACTATGTATAATAGAGAATTTAATGTACTTTATAGTGTAAGAAGCACCAGGTTTTGTATTTTTAAACTTTTTTTCTTTTATGATTTTTAAAGTTTTTTTCTTGTCCTTTTCTTTACTTTTAGTGTTGCAGTTTTCTTCAATGTTTTTAACCTGATACAGTGTTTTTTTTTTACAATTTTATTTTTGCATGTGAAAAACTTTTGCCTTCAGCCCTCCCATAAAACGACATAACTAATGAGGAAGAGGGAAAAAACAAAAAAACCAAACCCCGATCATTATCAATCTTTTAAAAAAGGATTTAAAAAACAAACAAGAAAAAAGAAAAATAAACAAATGAAAAAATAAACAGAAAAAGTTTTTCCCCATACTTACAAAGGTTGGGTTTTCTTTTGTCCCTACTTATTTAGAGTCCCTGGGAACAGAGGACTTTGCAACAAAAATAGATTTTTTCTCTTCTTCTTAACAATCTTTAACATACAAAGATATTAAAACTATGCACTCCATTGCACTTGGCTCAATGCAAACAAAATTGGTTCGTTTAAACCCCCTAATATATATTTTGTTTTTTAAAAATCCCCTCCCCCTTTTAAACACACATGTCTGTGTATCTTCCTTTCTGCTGCCCATACCTTCCAGCCCCCCAAATTTAAAGTCCTCCAGGTTGACCTTCTCTCAGACCCAAACCAGGGGGCATGTCAGTGGATGGCACGCATGTCCCATTCACCGCATACAGCTGCTACCCAACTGTCATACTTTTAGCAGATGCCAAGAATTAAATGTGTGCTTAGGCACTGTTGGGATTTGGAGCTTCTTTTTCAGAATTAAGGAAGAACAAGCTTCTACTCCTGCAATTTTAAGTGCTGCCTATCTGTTGTCATCTGTGCTTGCGGTTCTAGAAATGCCTAGCCCGTCACCTATTCGGATCTCACACACACACACAGGGAGATTGCTGTTGTCTTTGCTTCTGAAGCAGAAACACTATTTTGCGTAACATTGGGCATGTAAAATGAGATGCTTAAAGCAATTAAGCAGGGGAATTTGACTGAATTATTTTTTTTAAATAATGTAATAATGTAATAATGTAATAACTAAATACCGTTGACTGTGGTAAAATTTCTCCTCATTACGACTGTAAAAATACACTCAGGAATAGTTTACTCCTGACAGTCACAGAGACTTGAATGCATTTCTTAAAATAATGTAGGCAGTTGATGTCAGCAAGGAAGAGCATCTTTCTCAATCTGAGAAAGAACCCAAAGCTTGTATGAAGAAAGAAAGTAAAATGAAAACCATACAAATAAATGCTGCTGCATGTGCCTTTTTGTTCTGGGTAATACTGAAATGATGCTCAGTTTGAGCATACCTCAAGGTTGACTCTGCCCCATGTTGCCAAACCAATTACGGGTGATTGCTCCTTTACAGAAAAGGAAAAGCTGAAGAACCAGCTGAGAGGTTATGGGAGATGTCTGTTTTTTAAAGATCACCAAGGTAGGAAGAGTATGAATTTCCAGACAGAGCTTTTCCATAGTTTGGTGCTCTTGAAGAAGCAGATACTTATCTCAGGTTTGAAAATAAGCCACCTTCCAACTATTCACAATAGGGCAGTGGTTCTCAACCTGGGGGTCCCCAGATATTTTGGCTTTTCAACCCTAGGTAATTTTCAACAGTAAGCAAACAGTATTTGCCCCCCCCCCCCAAACCAATCACTGATATATATTTTCTGTTCGTCGTGGGAGTTCTGTGTGCCATATTTGTTTCAATTCCATCATTGGTGGAGTTCAGAATGCTCTTTGATTGTAGGTGAACTATACATCCCAGTAACTGCAACTCGCATATGTCAAGGTCTATTTTCCCCCAAGAGCGCCTCAAGACCGCCCCTGGGCAAAATCAACTATACTGCGAATGCTTACTTTGCGTAATGGGTTGAGCCGCCCCTGCTTTCAACTCCCAGAAATCCTAGCAGCTGGTAAACTGGCTGTGATTTCTGGGAGTTGTAGGCCAAAACACCTGGAGACCCACAGGTTGAGAACCACTGCAACAGGGAAAGAGACAGCCCTTCAATTCTAGCTGCTGTTTTAACTTTCTGAACTTTCTGAACAGATCTGAACTTGATGCTCAGTCTTCAGAAATAGGCAGCAGTATTTCTCAAAGAAGAATTTCTCACCATAGTATGGATTTGAAAAGAAGACTGGCCAATCAGAGGAGACATGAAAGGTATGTGTAGAAATCTGGTCAATCAGAGGAGACATGAAAAGTATGTGTAGATCACGGGAAGTGAAATGACTATCTCAGTATAATTATTATGTTGGAGAAGGATTGTCTTTCTACTACCTGAGCTGCCTTGTCTCTGGCAGGTTGTCTTATGCTTCTGAGTGGGCTGAGATACTTAGAGAGGGCTTTTGGTGGGATGAAAGCAGCAGAGCACCAGTTGTGGAAACCATTAAATCAGATTTCCACTCTTAATAGGCAGCAGTAGAGTTGGCACATGCCAACAATGGAAGCACCAGGCAGGTGGCTCTGCTTTACAGCCGCCAATTAAGGCGGCTGAACAAAACATCTACCCTAGCATTTTATATAGGCTTCTCACACCCTGATCATATCTCCCAAGTGAACCCTCTCCTTCACACAACAGCTGTCCTGCAGCTGTGCAGGGTTAGGTTTTGTGACTCCTCCATGAGTAAGCCTCTGATAAGTGCGTCGACTCTAAAGCCACAGGTTTTATGTGTATATGTGTGCATACATGTGTGTGCATGAGATCCAGGTTGTTTCTCAGACATCTGGAAGGCAGGAACAGAAGGATAAGCATGGGACCTACAATGGGCAAAGTAGGCAGGGAGATCTGCAGGCCTTGGACCTCCCTCCCTTGACCCTGTTTCTCCATGTAGAATCATTGCACTAAGACAAGGGTGCAGATACCTGGTTTTCATCTGCAGCTTCTGGATTGTTTGCTCCAGAAGTTCTAGAAGATGTCTCATGTGTAAGCTGGGGGTCACTGTGATAGATAGCAGAAGGTTTTCTGGAGGTTCTCTAGATCAATTGATTTTCCCTCACAGTCATTTGGGAGGCAACTCCAGGCATCGCAAGCCAGGAACCCAAATGCAATTGCTCTGGACAGATTGCACGGTAACCCGTTCCCTGCAGCATCCACCTGGCCCATTCCAAATCAGACAATCCCTAACCCCAACCCCTAACGCCCACCCCCTCCATCCTGGTACAGAATCTCACCTATACTGTACTAAATATACGATGTGGAGTTGCGCCATAACAACTAGCAACCTCCCTTGTGCAAAGGCGGACACCTTTAAACAGGAAAAATGGGATGGAGGGTGGGAGGTGAATCCCAAGGAATTTGGCAAAGCTCCTGTCCCCAAAGCTCAGTGTGGGGCAAGGAGAAAGAGAGGGGTCTCTTTCACAGACCTTTGGAAAAAGAAATAAAGATGATCTTATCATGGACGCAAGATAGAGAGGGACACTTGTTCTCCTCACTTTTGTTGTTCTTGTAAGTCTGAGAAAGGGAAAAGAGGAAAGTGCGTGGAGCTGTATGATTGACTCTGGTGCATGTGTGTGCATGTCTGTGCACATGCATGTCAGCATGCAGTGTACAGACAATAATATCAAACCCTCACTTCCAGAAAGCCTCCACTATTTTTAACTCTATACCATTCATTTTGTTGCGCTGAAGTTTGTTGAGAGTGTTCATGTGCAGTAAGCTTTGGGAGCTTTGCTTTTTTGCTTGTCTTAAACAAAAACAACCACTAAAACTCCCTTGTACTTAATTTCTTTGCTGTCATTACCTGTATGCAGAGGAAGCCAAAGGAAATGCTACAATTAAAGGAGGAAAAGAACAAAGTGGAGAAAAGGGATCAGGAAGAGCATCAAACCATAATAACAACAGACACCAAAAACCTCAAAAAGGAAAAGGCTGGTACCCAGGGGAAAGAAATGCAGCCTGCCCAGCCCAGCCCAAATAGGGAACTCTGCAGAAACGTGCCTGACTGTGCCAGCTACCCCGGCCCCAGCGGTCTGCCTGGGGTATCAGTGCATCAGTACGGCCTCTTTGCTTTCAGGCCAATGTATTCATTGATCTTTTTTAAAAAACAACAAGAAAACAAAACAAAATTAGTCATTACACCAATCTCCAGTGGGTCTCAGAAATTATGGCAAGAGAAATAATCAATCATGCTTTCCAGTCCATTGAGGCTTGACTTCATAAATGTCTGCCTCTTTAGTTTAATGGGGTGAAGGAACAAGGCTGGAAGTGATTTCCACATAATGTGCAAAAATACTTTTTTTGTGTCTGAAATACACAGGAAAGGCTCACCCAGAGCAAGGAATACCAGGAAGTTCTAGGAACCAAGATGGGGAGGATGAGGCACCAGTTGCCTCATGAGACAAAGAGGGCAAGGGATGGGGAGCGGGGAGAGAGAAGGAGGGATTGGGTGGGGGACTGGGAGAGAATGCAACAGGAAAGGCCCTTCCCTTGTTCTGGAATGGAATGCTGTCTGGGCATCTGGTAGTCAGGAACGTTTCTGCATTTGCTTTTTGAACTAATGGAGACACAGCGTTAATCCAGTTAATGAGGAATTTACTGCATAAAGGAACTTATGTTTGGTGGGAGACGTTTGTGCTACGAAGGCCAACCAAATATTACAGTTCTCTTAGTGTTCTAATCAAAACCATTTCCAATTCCGGACCAGTGCAATATGCTGGATTGGTTTTCTGAAATCATTTGAACGCATGGATGGAATTTAGGAGAAATTTGATCTGCTTGCTGTAACCCTCATCCTATTTTGCAGGAGCTTTAAAAAGCAACTAGAAGCACAATTGTCCTCTAGCCCCAACTAGGCAAATGCTTCTATTTACTCTTTGCATGCTAAGAAACCTCCTTGGAATCAGGCCAGGCAAGTGAGATTCTAGAGAACATCGTCCTTTTTCATTCCCAACAAACATAATCCCTAGCAAACCCTGGTGCAGTTTGGGGGCTTGAGGCTGGTTGGTGTGAATACTTTTCCTTCCCCATGATGAAATAAAGAGAAATCCCTTTTGTTGTTGTTTTAAAAACCATTGCTTGAATGGTCGAGAGCTATTATAACAGAGGGTTACGTGACGTCTGTCGGCGTTGATGGGATTCCTTGCAGAAGACAAGACTCTTCTATGCAAATGCAAAACCTGCTTTGGATCGGGGAGGTCCAATGTGATTTTTTTAAGCTTCTCATCTGTAGTGTTACCCAACGTCTCTTACATTTCCTTGAAGAGGAGCAGCTCAGTGAAGATATGGGTTAAGGACTGAAGATTCTGATTCGCAGGGCTTGAGTGAAAAATTATTATTATTATCATCACTATCACCACCATCTTTATTATTATTATTTTTCTTCACTTGAAGATCCCGTCAGAGGAACCAAGACTAGAACAGAAGAAGACACAAAAAGGAGGCAGAATTAAAATGGAGTGTTAACATCTTGAATTTTCCTTTGTTTGAATACTGATACCCACATCCATTCTTCTCTTCACTCTTTCAGACATGCTTGGCATTTGCTGCCAGAAACCGCAGTGGGCACTCCCACCCTTGGCTTGTCCCTTTTTTTTTCTAGTCCCCAACCCATGATTCCCATCCATCTTGCTCTGCAATATTGATGCCACTTCACTCTCTCATGTTATTACAACCCACCACTGAGCTTTCTAAAAGCTGGTTCGCCCAAGTTTTGGATTAGGCATACTCTGTAAGAAGAAGAAGCCAATACCAGCTAGCTTTACAAGTGTGTGCTAATGAATGCCCCTGATTTTCTCACTTTCACATAATACATTTCATAATACATTTCTAAACAATTGTTGGAAAGCACACACCATCACAAACATGCTGCTACTACCAAAACAGCAATCTCATATTGGGTTTGTCCCCTTCTATTTCCATCCTGTTCAGTAAATCGTTTGCCACCATATAATGGCTAGCAGTGTTTTTCCTTGCCTCCTGGTTTTTTTTTTGCATCTTGAATTGCCTCTGACAGATGATGTCCAAGAGGCTCAAGGCAGATTGAGTGCAAGAGATGAGGCAACGATGACATGATGCTGCCATTTTCAGGGTATTCCTGTGTTTATCATAGAAATATAGAATCATAGAGTTGGAAGAGACTTCATGGGCCATCCAGTCCAACCTTTTTCCAAGAAGCAGGAAAATTGCATTCAAAGCACCCCCGACAGATGGCATATCAATTTGTGCACGCCCCCTCCCGTTTTATCCCTTACAACAACATTTCTCAACCTGAGGGTTGGGACAACGGGGGGGGGGGGTCTCGAGGGGATGTCAGAGGGGTCGCCAAACACCATCAGGAAACGCAGTATTTTCTGTTGGTCACGGGGATTCTCTGTGAGAAATTTGGCCCAGTTCTATCATTGGCGGGGTTCAGAATGCTCTTTGATTGTAGGTGAACCATAAATCCCAGCAACGACAACTCCCAAATGTCAAGGTCTATGTTCCCCAAACTCCACCAGTGTTCACATTTGGGCATATTGAATATTCGTGCCAAGTTTGGTCCAGATCCATCATTGTTTGAGTCCACAGTGCTCTCTAGATGTAGGTGAACTACAACTCCAAAACTCAAAGTCAATGCCCACCAAACCATTCCAGTATTTTCTGTTGGTCCTGGGAGTTCTGTGTGCCAAGTTTGGTTCAATTCCATCATTGGTGGAGTTCAGAATGCTATTTGATTGTAGGTGAACTATAAATCCCAGCAACTACAACTCCCAAATGACAAAATCAACCCCCCCACCCCCCCCCAACCCAACCAGTATTCAAATTTGGGCGTATTGGCTATAGCAGTCTAGTGTCGAGATTGATTACTATTCATATCAGCAGCAAAATGACAGTTATGAAGTAGCAATGAAACTAATTTTATGGTTGGGGGTCACCACAACATGAGGAAGTGTATTAAGGGGTCGTGGCATTAGAAAGGTTGAGAACCACTGCCATAGGTTTTGTGGTGAATGAAGGGGAGGGAGTGGGGGAGAGAAGGAGAAGGAGAAAGGAAAATGAATGAAATAATAGGTGCTGTCCTATTATTAACTTGGAGCCTTAATGAGCATTTGAATCCATGTTATATCTAAACCTCTTTTCGGCAATATTGCACAGGAGCTGGGCTTTCTGCCACGGCTAGCATTTGTGCTAGAATTAGATAAGGAGGCTTTCCCCTTAGTAGCCACATCTGACATAATTCCTCCTTCTTTCTTCTGCTTATTGTGGGCTTCTTGCAGCCATTCCCAAGGCTCCACCAACATTTGTGGAAAACACAACACTAAATGCAATTACTAAAAATTATGGAAAACTATCTGCAACAACCATGGTTCAGCCAGGTTTTTGTATGGGAAAATCTCCACTTGACATGTTTTGATTTAAGAATGGAGATGCGAGTGAACTGAAGAGAGTATTTTGCTTAATGACATGGTGGTCTAATGCAGGGGTCCTCAGACTTTTTAAACAGAGGGCCAGGTCACAGTCTCTCAAACTGTTGGAGGGCTGGATTATAAATTACACAAAGCATTAATGAATTCCTATGCACACTGCACATATCTTATTTGTAGTGCAAAAAAACCCACTTTAAAACAATACAATAATTAAAATGAAGAACAATTTTAACAAATATAAACTTATTTCAGTGGGAAGTGTGGGCCTGCCTTTGGCTGATGAGGTAGGATTGTTGTTGTTGTCACTGTTGTGTGCTTTCATGTAATTTCAGACTTAGGTTGAGCCTGAGCGAGGGCCGGGTAAATGACTTTGGAGGGCCGTATCCGGTCCCCGGGCCTTAGTTTGAGGACCCCTGGTGTAATGAATGTCCTCTTCAGTTCACTTATTTCTCCATTCTTGGACCAAGGGCAAGTTGCACTCACACTTTCCAAATCTAGTTCTTTCTCTTGTTTCCTGGAACTGAGCACAACAGATGCATTCCTAAGCCCTCAAGTACCCAAGTCCCCTCCTGGTCCATTTTCTTACAGAAATACTCAATCCGCTGCTTTTTCTCTCTGACCCCCCCCCCCCCCCAAATGATAGGCCTGGCACAGTCACAAAAAAGTGAAGGTAAGAATGTTTCCCCTACTTAACCCAAGAAGGAAGGGAGACAGATTCAAGCCAGTTTTCAAACAGTGCAATTCAGGCAGGGGGTTACCTCCATTGTGGTTTTCTAATCTATACGCTACAGCCTGAATAGCATCTGGAAGTGAAAAATTCCTTCTAAACGGAAAAGTTGGTAATAAGACATACAGGCACTACACAGATAGCAATCTGCTCCTTCACCTCACCAAGGAAGACAGGGAAAGAAGCCACACTATGGCCAGAATTGCCCTTTTGCAAGGTTTTTTTTTTCCTTGGCGTGTCAGGAGCAACTTGAGAAACTGCAAGTCGCTTCTGGCGTGAGAGAATTGGCCGTCTGCAAGGATGTTGCCCAGGGGATGCCCAGATGTTTTGATGTTTGACCATCCTTGTGGGAGGCTTCTCTCATGGACGTTGCCCAGAGGATGCCCAGATGTTTTGATGTTTTATCATACTTGTGGGAGGCTTCTCTCATGGACATTGTCCAGGGGATGCCCAGATGTTTTGATGTTTTATCATACTTGTGGGAGGCTTCTCTCATGGACATTAGCCAGGGGATGCCCAAATGTTTTGATGTTTTACCATCCTTGTGGGAGGCTTCTCTCATGTCCCCGCATGGAGAGCTGGAGGAGATAGAGGGAGCTCATCCGCTCTCTCTCCGGATTCGAACCTCTGACCTGTCGGTCTTCAGTCCTACCGGCACAAGGGTTTAACCCATTGCACCACCGGGCACTCCTTTGCAAAGTTGTTATGTGAGAGCACACTGGAGGCCTGGTATGGCAAGGAAAGGGGAGAGCAGCTTCAAATAATATCGTGCAGAAGCATGCACTACAAATGGCCACAAGGGGGAACTATGCTACAACTATTGCAAAAGGCTGGAATATGCATTAATTTTTCCAGCTTTCGTGCCATTGCTAAATACTTTCCTTGCTTTAATCTGGCAATATGAAAAGTGTTTGCTTCACTCAGTGTGCCGTACCTTTCTACATCTATTCAGGAAGCAGCTTCCTGGGGAAAAGGATCGACCTAAACTAGGAACCCCATGGCCTAGACTCAAACGTGGAACAGAAAGTTGTTGCATTCTCAGGGCACCAGGAAAAAACATATTTACTCACCCACCAACCCACCCAAATCTTTCAACAGCCATGCAACACTGCAGCTTACAGGGATACTGTTCTGTCATCAACCTACAGACTTCATCATTTTTCTGAACTGAAATCCTTAATGGAAACAACAACCACTGGAAAAAGGTCCTACTTGGATAGTATTTAAGATAAATGGGAAAATATGTCCGTTAGGAACAGGGGGATGTAAAGCAGAGCACAAAACATGAAGGATCTGTAATTATGACATGCAGTGGAGCAAATTTTCCAGGTTCCGATCATCAGCAAATCCAGCTCAAGTCAGAAAAAAAAATCACCTTCCCAGTAATTTGGGTACAATTTCTTTTTTTCATAAACAATTCCCATGGATGCCGAATTACAATTTTAATATTTTTGTTGTTTCCAGTTGTTGTTTTTTTTCTCTTCACATATCCTCTCTGCATTTTGGCCACTCCATGTTCCTTTCATAAAATAAGGTGCCAGCTCTTACACTCGAGTGAATCCCTGCCAACCAACCAGATTGCTAACCATTTCTCATTGTCGCAGACCCCAGCCAATCAAGTGTAAATTCATCTGCAGGCTAAATCCTCCAACTGGCTGAAGTTTGCAGTGACGCTAAGCTTTCTAAGCCAGTCACAAGGTGCTGGCCAAATGACAGCATCAGAAGAAAACCTGGTATCTGCTGGTGCTGTTTTTGTTGGGAGGGGGAATCTATAAAATTACAGATTTGGAAACAATCAATCAAACAAAAACACACACAAAAACAACAGCACCATACTTATTGGCTGTCCCTGCTCTGCAATTGGCTTGAACTTGATGCTCTGTGCCTTGAAAACCAATCAGAATGCTGTGCCTCAGTAACAAGCCGGTCAGGAGTTATCACTCCACTACAATATCATCCACTGAGGAATGAATCCATCTCCAGATGTCCCTTCATGTCATTGCGTCTCTCAGATGCCTTGAACAAGCCCTACTGTCACATGACTGCTGCATTTCTGGAAATTCCCATTTCTGACAGTGCATTAGAGCTGCAGCTGACGTTGCTTCAATCATTCTGGAATAACATGAGACTACAACAGCATCAGGGCAAACCACAGTCTTAAAACAGATGAGGCATGCCCAGTAGGATCTGCCCTGGCAGTGTGACGAACATGATGGCTGAGATAAGACAACTACTGAAGTACACACAATGCTGGGCCTATTTATCATCCTACATCAACA